GTAAGGGCGGGAAAAAAGAAAGGGGGCATTACGATTAACATGTATAGTGTGGGGGGGCACAGGGAGGGCTCTGCAACACAGAGAAGACAAGTAGTGATTTTACAGCATCTTACTATGCTGATGGACAGTGACTGTGAAGGGGTATGTGGGGGGGATTAGGTAAGGGGGGGAGCCTAGTAAACATAATGATCTTTGTGTAATTGTAGATTAATGATACCAAATTTAAAAAATTAATAAATTAATTAAAATAAATAAACATTAAGCTATCAAATTCACGCATATTTTCAAACTTCCACCCTCAGTTTAATGTGTTACATGAAACCAATTCTGTGTAATCAGAAATACCATAGACAGGCTATTAATTTGCAACTCACCCTAGCAACTAAAAAGGCAATCCATGTTGCAAAAACTCACAAAGATACACACAAAAAAAGAAATTTATAAAGTGTTAACCAAATATATTTGTTGTAACAATGAAAGGAGGGGATGAGAAACCCTTAAAGCCTTGCATTTTAAGTATATTCACCCTTTTGGGCACGTGGCTGACACTTCTTAAGGTCATGACACAGGCTGAGTGTCTCTTCTTCCCACAGCCATGGCCACAGCAGAGCCCACCCCTGATGAGCCCCTGCCCAGAGACGAAAGGATGCAAGATCTTCAAGAGATGCTGAGAGAAGCAGGGCTGGCAATTGAGTACTGGCTGCCCAAGCTGCAGGAACACCTGGGTGTGACCTGTGCCCAGGCCTTACAACACCTAGAAGAAAAAGACCTTCAGAAGCTGAAATCCCAGGCACGATATCCCTGGGAGAAGAGAGCCCTGGGGAAGCTCCTTAACCTATCACATTCAAATAGACTTTCAGAGTTACAGGAGTCTCAGGTGGAAATAATAAAGAAAAAGAAAAAGCATGCTCAGCAGGCATTACAGGAGCTAAGAGACTTGTTGTCAGAAGGGAGACATCGACAGGAAGAAACAGTAAGAGAAAAAGAGGCACAACTAAGGCAGGCAATGGAAATCCCCAAAGAGTACTGGCCACCCCCCGAAAGGTGCCTAAGAGAAGTCATGGAAAACATGCAGACACAACTCAACCTCATGGATAGGACACTGTCTCACAGACAAAACCTCTCAGATAGTGATCTGGTAAGATGGGCATCTGGAGGGCTAGCCCTGCAGGGAATTTACAAAACCAGTTACCAAAAGGACCTTATGGAGAAGAGAGAGGAGTTGCTTGGTGTCCCCAAAGAGTTCTCAGTCTCTGGCCCTGAGCAGGGCACACGGATGGAAACAAAGGAGTTTACATCTTCTCAAGCAGAATCCATATTCATCCAGACCATAGAGAAGCTGGGCTTCAGTGCAACTGCTTCAGCAAAGGGTGGAGGTTGTGGATTTAGCTTAGAAGCTGGTATGGATCACAGCAAACATTCAAAATCCAAGGAAACCCAACAATCACATTCTGAGCACTCTTATTTCTGCTCAACCAAGTTCAGCTACATTCCTCTGGCCTCCTTCCATTTTCCCATTGATCAGCTCCAGTTTTCCAAGGGTGCTCTCCAAGAATTGAAATGCATTGAAGACCTGATGGGCCAGCCAGCAAGCCCAGACAGACTCCCCTTGCTAAGGAACAGGACGGAAGCTTTCTTCCACAGGTTTGGCTCCCATGCTAACCAGGGCCCTCTGCACCTGGGAGGAATCTATTGGTGGAAAGCCATTTCACAGGGTTTCCAAAGTGAGCAGCTGGCAGAAGTGAAACAACAGTCGGCAGAGGCCCTCAGTATTTACATAAGAGGCTGTTACAGTGGATTTGGAATGAAAGTTGCTGCAGGTTTGGATGTGTCTAACTCTCATTCAAAACCAGTCTCTCAGAGCACAACCTTCTCAAATCTCCACACCAAAGTCCAATTATCTGTGGCCCAGACAGGTGGCCCACCAGAAGCAAATGGCCTTTTCCAGTGGAAAGCTGGCCTAGTTGCCAGTAATCAAACCTGGTGTGTCATTGACCAGGGGTTTCAGCTGGTTCCCATTTGGGACATCATCCTTTCCAGCCACAAAACTGATTTTAAGCATCCTTTTCAGATAGCTAACTTCCTGAAAGACAACTACACTGCTCTGACTGGCCTCCCTGCCCAGATCAAGAATGGGGAGGAATTACTGAGTGCTGGGAGGGAGGCTCGGGTTTTCCTAGAGGATGTGAAATCCTGGGAGGTATCTGATCCTGAACAGCAGCTTAAAAAACTGTTAAGTTTCATGCAAATGTTGAGTCAAAAAGTAAAGAGTTATGACACTTGGATTAACATATGCCTTACAAATTGGGATCTGCAGAATTTTTTGGTAAACACTGTCAACTTTTGCAAAAAGTCTTCCATTTATAAAACTAAATTTATTAAATCTCAGTTGTGTAGCCTTTTGGATCCTCATGTCTACAAAGTGACAAATTTTTCTCAGGCTCATTCCATCATGCAGTGGATCTTTCAGTCAGAGTCAGAGCAAGAGCATGTCAATATCTCCCAATTTTCTGAATTAATTAAAATCTTAAAAGAAACCCAGAATGACCTCATGGAAGTGAAGGCCAGATCTGAGTCCCCAGAAACAGTAGAGGAAGCTCAAAGAAAGGCCACTTATAAGGTCAGCTTGTCTCTTGGCTGCTTCTTGAATTACCTTCAAGAAACAGAGCAGCCAGACACACAGCTCTTGATACTTTCTATTGCAGCTGGTGCAGGATATCATGTGACAAACAATACTTTTCAGTATATCCTGGGATGTGATGAGTTAGACTTTCTTCTGGATGAAATGCAAACTGCCCAAGATAAGTACCAGGAACTCAAAAATATTTGCAGCTGCAGGGCTCAGGCATTCCTGGTGCTCACAGGTCTGACAGTGACTGCTGGAGTCACAGCTGTTTCTCCAGAGGAGAAAACACAACGCTTGGCATTCATAAAACATCACATGGGACAGTCTTTGTCCAAAGAAGTTGTATATGTACTCACCAAACTTGGAGCAGATCATGACTGGGAAAACCTAGAAGAAGACTTGAGATTGCTCATTGGTGGAAATTATGAAGTCACAATCTCTTCATTGCAAATGGATGAGGTGAGAAAACATTTGCAAAGTATCTTCCATGAAAAGAAACAGAGCCACAGCCCACATGATAATGAAAATAACAAATGGGAAGTCATAGAAAATGAAGCCTTCCTGGAATTACTCCAGCGTCTAGGCCTAGAACATTACTACCCAAAAAAAATGAGCAGAGCCAACTTCCATCTGATCTACAAGATTTCTGTGTATAACACCCAGCCCAGCTCTGAAAGGGAACTTCCCTTCTACTTCCTGCAAAAGCTACTGATGCTAGATTATGGACTGAGATACCTGATCCTCAAAGATGATGGAAACACAGAGAATCAAGTTTATCTAAGTGCCTCAAATCAGAAAAATGAGACTTTTGATCCATATGAAGACATTTTTGAAGACAGAGTTAGTCCCACTAATCCTTCAGCCACTACTGCCAGATCCCCAATTCACCCTATGGATATTCAGATGGCAATTCTTCACTGTGCAGATGATTTTGCCAGACAATATATTTTGACCAAACTTTCCATTTGTCAGTTTGCCCTCCCCCTTCTTGTACCTAATCCCTGCAAATCTCAAATCGAATTCTCTCTCTGGTCTCTCAGGCAAATCAGGAGAAGCTGGCAGCAAGCAAGGAAATTAACAAAAAAGGAGAAGAACAATTATAAGAATCAGCAGATGTGTTGTGTCTCTACCCCCATTGTGTCCTTTATTAGAGTTGGAAATGGCTTCTCTGCTTCCAAATCTCAGATCATGAACTGTCTTCTCAGTAAACGTAAACATGATATCTTTTTTCATAGACATTGCAGAGGGAGCAGCCAAGACTATCTCTTGATGGGGGGCGTGGTGGAAATCTGCTGGTTCTGCCCTGGCGGAGAGGATGAGGACAGATTTGGCAACTGCTTGGCCTTCACCAATCTTCATGGAAATGCACAGGAATATAAGAAGCAACTCAACTTCCTGCAGGAGGTCTCTTCTCTCATTGTGGTCCTCATATCAACTTCTGATGACAATAAAGAAAACCGAAAAATGGTCCATGACCTGTGTCAGTCATCAAAACCTTTGATCTGTTTGCTTGATGACAAAGAAAACACCATGGCTAATAATTCTGGTCAAAAAGTAAAAATTGGGATCAGGAACAGAAATCAGGCAGAATTAACAGAGGAGCTCACAACTACAATCAGACATTTGCTCAAGCTCTCTGACACTGCTCTCAGTTTAGAGGATTGTGCTCAGATTGCTCGTAAGCAAGGATTCCTTATTGATGAAGACCACAGAGATTGCAAGGAAGCCAAAGAAAAGGCAGAAATTCTAATGATCCTACTGGGAGAAATGAAGATATCTCAGATGAAGGAAAAATTACTACCCCTTCAGGGACAACTGTGGCGCCTTTGGTGTAAAAAGGACAAAGAACTCTATCATCTGAGAGAAAAGGGAAATCGGAGCATTGAACAACACAAGAGCAGTATTGAGACAGATAAACAAAAAATACGGCATCAACAATTGGCCAGAGCCTTTCCTTTCAATGAATTAATGCAATCTGTCCTTGAAATTATCCAAAAACATTCAGAAACTCACACCAAACTCTACTTCTTACAATGGCTGAGTATGTTTTTGGATAACCTGACTGCAAGACACTTGGAAAAACTGAATGAAAAGAAAAAGTCTTTGTGGTCACTGATACAAACAGAAAAGCAAAAGGCGCAAAAGAGCAATTACCTTAAAAGATGGCAAAATGAGATAGAAGCTATTTCCACAGAGATTAGTGATTGTACCTTGGGAATTGAGCAACTTCTCAGAGAAGTTGGACAGATCTATGAAGCTCTGGAAGAAGTTTCCTCCACAAAAGATAACCTCTTTCTCTCCCTTCCCCAGATTGCTGCAGATCTAATGATATCTGGTGTTCCCATTGAGCTGATGGATGGGGATGCTTCATATGTGCCTCTCAGGTGGGTGGCAGCTATTTTTGACAAGGTCTCTGAGAAACTTGGAGACAAACGGCTGTTTGTTCTCTCTATCCTTGGCCTACAGAGCTCAGGGAAGTCCACCCTGCTGAATGCCCTTTTTGGGCTGCAATTCACTGTCAGTGCTGGGAGGTGTACCCGGGGGGCCTACATGCAGCTCCTGAAGGTGGAGGAGACTTTCACAGAGGAACTCGGCTTTGACTTTGTGCTTGTTGTGGACACAGAAGGACTTCGGGCCCCAGAACTGAGCAACAAATCTCAGAATCATGACAATGAGCTGGCAACCTTTGTCATTGGACTTGGAAACTTGACTCTAATCAATATTTTTGGGGAAAATCCATCAGAAATGCAAGATATTCTACAAATAGTTGTCCAAGCCTTTTTGAGGATGAAACAAGTAAAAATCTCTCCAAGTTGCCTCTTTGTCCATCAGAATGTGGGGGAAGTTACAGCTAAAGACCAAACTATGGAAGGACGAAGGCGACTAGAGCAGAGACTAGATGAAATGGCAGCAATAGCAGCTAAACAAGAGCAGTGCTCAGATGTAACCCGCTTTAGTGATGTCATTAAGTTTGATGTCAATACTCACATCTACTACTTTGCTCACCTCTGGGATGGCAATCCCCCAATGGCACCCCCCAACCCTCGCTACAGCCACAATGTCCAGGAACTGAAAAGTAGAATTCTTCTGACTGCCAGAAAGGAATCTAGAGGAGGTATCATGAAGATATCAGAAGTAAAATTCCGAGTTCAAGATTTGTGGAGAGCCCTGGTTAATGAGAACTTCATTTTCAGTTTCAGGAATACTCGAGAGGTTATGGCCATGAGCAAATTGGAAACCATGTATAACTACTGGACCTGGGAGCTGAGGAGTCATGTGCTGGGCTTGCAGAACCAGTTGATCAACCAGATTCAGAATGGAAAAATCCAAACATTCAGAAAAAGCACACTTGAAGCTCCAGTTACAGAAAAATATGAAGCTATCAAGCAAGAACTTGAAAGATATTTTAATGAAGATCCAGATAGCGAAATACTAGTTCAGTGGAGAGCAAATTTTGAAAATAAGCTAATAATCCTTAAAGAAGTACTTGTTTTAGATAGCCAAAGAAAAGCCAATGAACTCATTAGTTTTAAAAAAAGTCAAGAAAAACTGGATAACAAAAAGTCAGGTTATGAAAAGGAGCTACTGGAAAAAAGCCGAACGTTGGCTTTAACTGTAAAGGGCACAAAATTGAGTGAGGAAGAACTATATGAGAAATTCAATCAACTTTGGGAAAAATGGGTCTATGCTGTATCTTCAACTCTCCCTCCAGTCACAGAGCCTGACATTGATGTAGATTCTGAAAACATCCTTTTGGAATATTTCAAAAAGGAGACAAACATGGTGAACATATTGAAGAAAAAATCTGGAGAAAAGTTTCAAATCAAATATGACAAACATGTCAAAATGAACATGAAATATTACATAATTACAAGGCAATTAACGGACCATGACAAAGCATCCATAGATATGACTACTGGCCGCATTGTTTCAAGAGTTAATGAAACTATTAACAACATTTGGATGCAACAGTGTGACTATAATCCAAGTAATTTCCATGAAATCCTGAAAATAATAGATGAGGAGGCAAAATCTGCACCCAATGAGGAAAGGTACACATTTACAAGTAAATATGAAATTGACTTATCATTGTGTTTGTTCCAAAAAGCATCAGAGAATTTTAAGGAGATGCACAAGGCATTCAAGAAAGCAAATGATCCTGTAAACTACCTGGAAAGCAAAAAAGATGATTTCTTCATGAGTTTTAAGATCTCTTGTCAAGGAGCAACCTCAATTAAAACATTTGTTGATTTTCTGTGGCACAAACTCACTCCTGCTGTCTCTACCACCATATGGAAAAAAATGGCCCCTAAAATTGCTGGGGACATGCGAGCTACCTGCCCTGCATTCAATGGAAACAGGGCTAACCTGGAGAAGCACATTCTTATCTCTCTGGCAGAAAAAGAAAGTTTTGATAATTACTGGCAGTACCTTCATAATTCAGAATCATTTTTTAGGAATTACATTGAAAAACATATTAAAAGATACTGTTCAGACAAAGGAAGTGAAAAAATAAAGACTTTTTTAAAAATAAGTTTAGATGACATCAAGAATGCCATCCTTTCAGCTATTCATGAATCCACAGCAGTAGCTAAAGATAAGAGCAGCACTGTGTCTGGATGGTTGGATTTGTTCTGTGATCACCTGGGGGCTAACTTGATCTTTCCACGGAAAGATTTGATAAGCATTGAACACCAGGAGATAAAAGATATTGAGTTTCTCAAAGAAGCCATGAGTGAAGCTTTGGATCCTGCAATGAAGAGAGTAGAACAGAACTGTTTGAGTATGTCTGTCAATGAAATGGTTCCTGAAATAGAGAAAATGCTCTCTGAACATCTCTGTGGCTGCTGGAAACAGTGTCCCTGTTGTAAAGCAATTTGTACCAACACAATCCATAAACACGAAGGAGACCACAGTGTTCCCTTCCACCGTCCTCAGGCTGTCAGTGGAGGGTATTTATATAAAACAGACAACTTTGTCATTGATTACTGTACTAATCTGGTAGCAAGTGATTGTGTATTGGTTTTGAGAGATAACTGTAAAATCCCATATAAGAACTATCGACAGGCAGGAGGGGAGTATGCCACATGGAGCATCACCCCAGATTCATCCACCCAGCCATACTGGAAATGGTTTGTCTGTCACTTCAGATCAAAGCTAGAAGAGAAATATCAGAAAAAATTTATAAATAAAGGTAAAATCCCTGATGCATGGACCAAAATCACAAAGCAGGATGTGCTTGATGACTTGAAAAAACAATAAAACTCAATGACACAAAAGAGCCCCAATATCTGGACAGAAGAGTCACAACACCTGAATAATTCTAAAATACCTCCTCCCTGCAGTGAGAATCATCATCATTTCCTTCTTTCAAATGAAACACCTAAAAATAAATCAATTAATATTTCAAGAGTTGAAAATTTCCTATGTAAGAACTTATTTTATTTTTCTTTGTCTCAATTCCTTCTGGGTTAGAAACAAATTACTAAAATGAATGGCTATACAATAAAATCAAACAAAATCCATTTAAAATACCTACAAATGTTGCTCATCCCTGGGCTTCCCTAGCCAAACTGAGTATGGTGGGCTGATTAAAGCTGTCCTATTCCAACCCACTGCAGAGGTCCTCCAGCAAGTGATCTTTGCTCAGGACCTGCAACTTTTTCAGAACTGTTCTACAATCTGAAACTTCCTACCTAATCCTTTCTTCCCTCTCTCCTTCACTGAAGTTAGACTGGCATTGTGATCTGAAGGTACTCCCTGCCTACTTTTGGTCCAACCATTTTATCCCTCACAGGCATGTCTCCTATTAAATCTCCTACATGTCTAAATCCCATCTTAGTGTATGTGTCTTGAATAACTCAAACTTATATAGACAGTACTAAACTGGTCCAAGAGGCAGGAGTTAAAATGGAGTTTGGGGACTGGCTCACTTACCACCCAGTGGGCAAGGAAGACCCATTCTGAATGGCATGTGAGGCACAGACAGTCCCCCACACAAGATGATAATCAAACCACTGAAGCTTTTACCAGTGGACATCTGAAAAACACAAGGAAAACACTCCCTACAAGGGCAGTGAGGTTTACTGTTTATTGTAAAGTTGTATTGCCACTCTACAGAATAACAAGAAACAGAGTAGTTAACAAATAACTAAAGGCTGTGTGTAAGGGCCTAACATGACTCTTGTAGCTTACAAAGAGGCCCTTATCTCCTGCAGGGAAGAATGAACACATTTAAGAAGCAGACTGAACACTTAGTAGTTAGAGTCAAAGATCCAGAGACACTCAGCCAAGGCAGGTCTGTTCTGCTAAGGTCAGGGCCTTGACTGGGAAAACCTGGAACCTAGACAATGGGATGGGACATCTCAGTGGATACCCCCAAGGATTTTAGCTCTGCAGGCCCCCCTGAAACCTCAGAGCTTACAAAGAAAGCCCATTCCTCCATAGTAAGAGCTGGCAGTCCTCATGCCTGGGAGGACACTGCAGAAGACTCTCCTCCTCAGCATAGTAAGTGCCTCTCTCAAGAGCTACCTTACTGCCTCTCCAGGCTGCAGGCCTATAATTATAGTTAAATCCTGGAAGAACCCAACTCATTACCTGCTAGACTGGAAAAAGATGAAAAGAGATTATACCCCAAAAGAGCAACAAGACCTAGCTGTATGTATCAGCAGGTGCCAAGGGAATACTCCTAGGATTGGATTTTCAGGGTACTTCATCAAGGGAGCTAGAACATAAGACTGGATATGCCAAGATTTCATTGACTAGGGTGCACTTTCCCAGGATATGAGATTTAATGTTTAGGCAAGGACCTCAGGATAAGACAAACTCACTGGTAGGGAGGCTCTTAGAAGCTTAGAGAAATCTAAAGCCCAAATTGAGCAAAGTAGAAGTGCCTGAGTTTCTTGGAAGATAAAGGAAAAACTTAGAAGGTGAGAGGGAGATGAGCATGTTAGAATGGTTGTATTATAAAAGGCAGGACACCTATCAGAGATAACATTTCATGGGAAAGCCCAAAGAACACATCATACACCAAGACATTAGGAATTTGCCAATGAAAGAGGCAGCAAAATTCCTAGAAAGTTCAGTGGTGGCTATGCTCAAAAGGTCAAGGGTGATGGTAGGAGTATGATCTAGAACAGGGTTCATTAGATCTATGGGGTTGATGGAGCTCTAAAGTACTAGAAATCACATGCAAGCACTTAACTGCTAGAACTCAGGAGGTTGCAGTCACCCTAACAACAGGATTAGAGGAGGCACCAAGAGTCCATTACCCACAGGGAGCTGTAAAGGTGGTTAATAGAACATGGTGTCCACCAAGGGCAAAATAACAGTCAGTGAGAAGGCTGCTTACCATACACAAGCAGAAAAAGGCAAGAACAAAGGATCAGAAGGTAAGGGTGGTCACCCAGACAAACAGACATACCCTTGCTCAAAACTCACTGACTAAAAGGATGACTAAGTCCCCAGGATTAAGGACCCTGCAGCACTGGCAGGTATATACTGTAATGGTTCCTAAAAGGACCTACAGTAATTTACTCAGATAACGATAACTGGGGAAAGAGGATTATTGAACACAAGGTCTGAGTTGACACTGACATCTAGAGAAACAAATCATCATTATTAATAAATAGGGGCCAGGTAATAAGTGAGGTCCTAGCTAAAGTCAAGCTTACAGCCAGTCCACTGGGTCCACAGACCCACACAGGATCTGTCCCCAGCCCCCAAGTATATAATGAGGAATGACAAATTTGGCATTTGGACTAATCCCCACATTGGGTCCTTGTCCTATGAGGTAAGAGCTATAATAATAAAAAAGGCTAAGCATAAACCTTCAAAATTCCCCTCCACCCTAGCCAAGATAGTAAGTCTTTTAAAAAATCAAAACCAAAGAGATGGCCAAGATTAGCACTCCCTCTAAAAATCTAAAGGGGTGATGGTTTTTATCCTATCTCCATTTAGTTTGCCAGTCTGGTACCTGCAATATCAGATGGATCCTGAAAAATTTTTGTAAACTGCCAGCCTCAATCAAGGGGTAGCCCCCATTTCAGGTTCTGCACTGGACATGGTAACATGGCTAGAGCAGATTAATAAAGGCTCAGGTACATGTATGTGCCATTAATTTGGCAAATGAATTCTTTTCTATTTCAGTGACAAAAAAAACAAAAGAAACAGTTCACATTCATGTGGAATGGACAAAAATATTTAAAATATTTACTTATAGTTTTGCCCCAGGGCTCTATTAATTCTCCTATTTTCTATCATAACATAATCCAAAAAGATAGGGAACATTCCACAGAACATTACATTGATCCAGTATATGGATGACATCATGCTGATTAAGCAAGAGAAACAAGAGGTGGCTAGTGAGTTGGTGGTCTTATTAAGATATGCACTTCAGAGGGTGAGAGATAAACCCTACAAAGAATCAGGGGCCTGACACATAATGAAAGATGTTAGGGGCCCAATGATCAAAATAGTAAAAGACGAATAACTGCATCATGCATTTCCTACCATAAAGAACAAAGCAAGCACCTAGTAGGCATCTCTAAGTTCTGGAAGCAACATATTCCACACCAAGGAATACTCATCTGGCCCATAAACCAGATGACAAGGAAGAATGCCAGCTGTGAATGGGGTACAGAGGAGGAAAGGACTATGTAAGTATATTCAGGCTATAGTACAAACTGACCAACTGCTGGGTCATATGAGCCAGTCTTTGGTGCTGGGGGTGTCAGTTTTGGTAAGAGATTCACTATGGAGTTTGTGGCAGGGATCAGCAAACTCTGACCCATGGCATGCCACTTTTGTCAGTAAAAATTGTTTTATACAAATAAAGACATGTTCATTCATTTGCATATTATCTATAAAATGTTTTTATACTACACAAGCAGAGTTGAGTAACTGTAACAAAAAACATATGTCCAAAAAAGGCTTAAACTTTTACTATCTGGCCCATTACAAAAAAAAAAAAGTTTGCTTATGCTTGGTTTATGGTAAGCCCCAGTGAGAAAATCATAATGCAGAATTCTGAAGTAAGCTCATGCCATCAGTAACAGAGAATTATATGCCTTTTGAGAAACAGCTCCTGATCTGCTATTGATTCCTGGTGGTTTATGGAATGCTTGATCATGAAGCATGATCATGTGACTGAAATTGCTCATTTTGAGCTAGGTTATGTTGGACTAACCAAGGTATACAATCAGAAAGGCCCTGCAGCAGTCTATCATAAGGTGCAAATGGTATATCCAAGACCAAGTTTGAGCAGGAATAAGGCATGAGTTAATATGAACAGCCAGCCCAGATCCCTGTATCACCTACCATGGGTTGCACCAAGACCCCTCCCCAAGCTCAAATCTATGATTTTATGGGGGTCACCTAAAAAAGCTGAAGGAAAAGGAAAAAGCTCAAGCTTGATTTATGAACAGGTCGACTTGATATTGGGTATATCCTGTGAATGGATGGTGGCTGCCTTAAAGCCACATTCATAAACAGCCTTGAAAAGCAGTACAGAAGAAAAATCTTCCCATCTGGAAAAATTTTAAATGTTGCTTTTGGTCATTGACTTATGCAAATAGAAGCAGAATGAGGTGAGAATATATTCATATTCCTATGCAGTGGCCAAAAGGATGACTGGCCAGTCCAAGTCCTAAAGGAAATGGACAGAGAGATCAGAAATAAGAGGGTCTTGGGTACAGCACGTGGATGGACATGTGGCAGTGAGCACGAAGTATGAAGATTTTTATATCACACATGCCCACCAGAAAGCAACCACTAATAAAAAGGCACCAGGTTGGCAAAATGACTTCATCAGTTGATGTTACCTATTCTTCCTCATCAGACTCCCAAGAATCGGCATGACAGAAACACAAATGAAATTGTTATGACAGTAGGTAGGCTATGCATGAACCCAATAACAGGAACTTCCACTTACCAAGGTTAATCCAGCTACTGCCTTGAATATCCAACCTCCAGGAACAGAGACCTATGCTGAGTCACAAATATGCCATTAGTCCTCAAAGAAGTCAAATGGACACATGGTGGCAAATTCATAGTACTCCTTCCATCCTGGAAGGGCCAACACTTCATCTTCATGGGGATAGATACCTATTTCAAGTGTGGCATCTCTAGAGGCTTACAGAATACCTGATCTACAGGTCTGGATCACGACAGCTGAAGGTGAGTTCAGAAATCTAGAATTGATAGTGGAAATGAGAGAAGTTATCTTTGTTTACACTCCCAAGACCAACTGAAGTGATGCAAGCTATAGTTCACCACTAACTCTCCCCTTTCAAGTTTTTCCTCAAGAAAAGGGGTCTACAGACTTCAAGGAGAGGTTGTTGGCCAAATATGTTTGTAAAAGTAAATCTATGTGGCATAAGAAGTGGCATGGAGATACACCACTTAGACCTCATTCAAAAGAACCAGTTGTGAGGAACATAGCTGACTCACAGCCTCCAGTTGCCACCTTTTTGGATCTACCATGGTGTTCCCACTGAGGCCACACCTCTCCCAGGATGCTCCTACTCAATGACTGAGCATGACAAGGCCCAAGCCTGCAAAGCAATCTTTGCTTAGGATTCTTTAAAGTCCTGGCCAGGACCTTCTCTAAACTCACTGTGACCTGACACTCTTTTTACCCAGTACTTCCTTCCCTTTCTCCTTTCTCAGACTTACAATGTTGTTTGAAGGCCTTCTTTGCCTATTATTGCTCTCTCCCCCTGTATCCTTCATAGGCATTTCCTCAAATAAATCTCTTAACATGTTGTGGATAAAATTGCAACAGTTCCAGATTCCCTTGCCTGGACTTAATGAATCTCCATATCAATAGGTGTTTCCAAGGGGTGGAGACAAGTATACATTTGCATATCAGTAGGTAATTACAAGGGGGAGCAAGAGTATACCTGGACTGGAGAGGTTGGGTGGGGTCCCTTTTTTCTGCAGCCAGGTCATGAGAGACACGGGTGAGCAGAAGTGGACAACTCCTAGTAAGGAATAAACAGGTTTCACCCACTTTATTTCTCCCTTTGACTGATTTTGGTTTCAAAGGTTATTTTGCCCTGGGATTTTCTCCCTGGAGTTACATATGTCTAGTCCCATCTTTATACCTGCTTCTTGAAGAAACAAACTCATGCATACCCCTTACATTTTTTTTTGGTATCATTAATGTACAATTACATGAGCAACATTATGGTTACTAGACTCCCCCCATTATTAAGTCCCCACCACATACCCTATTACAGTCACTGTCCATCAGTGTAGTAAGATGCTGTGGAATTACTACTTGTCTTCTCTGTGTTATACTGCCTTCCCCATGCCCCCCACCCTACATTTTGTGTGCTAATAGTAATGCCCCTTTTTCCCCCTTATCCCTCCCTTCCCACCCATCCTCCCCAGTCCCTTTCCCTTTGGTAACTATTAGTCCATTCTTGGGTTCTGTGATTCTGCTGCTGTTTTGTTCCTTCAGTTTTTGCTTTGTTCTTATACTCCACAGATGAGTGA